CCCACACCAGCCATGATTTTATAAAACTATTTTCATATGCCCCTTTAGTCTCCTCTTTTCTAAGCTGAGAAGTCCCAGTCTTCTCTTTCATATGGGACCCATTCCAAAACCCTAATTATTTTGTTGCCCTTTTCTGAACCTTTTCCAATGCCAATATATATTTTTTGAGATGAGATGACCATATCTGTATGCAGTATTCAAGATGTGGGTATACCTTGGTTTTATAGCGAGGCAATAAGATATTCTTTGTCTTATTGTCTATCCGTTTTTAATTATTCCTAACATTGTTAGCTTTTTTGACTGCTGCTGCACACTGAGTGGATGTTGTCAGAGAACTATGCTCAAAAGAGAGATCTTGGAGTCATTGTGGAGTTATAGTTAGAGTTATATTGTATTTATAGTTGGGATTATTTTTTCCAATGTGCATTACTTTACATTTATCAACATAAAATTTCATTTGCCATTTTGTTACCCAATCACTTAGCGTGAGATCTTTTTGAAACTCTTCACAGTCTGCTTTGGTCTTAACTACCTTGAGCAGTTTAGTATCATCTGCAAATTTTGCCACCTCATTGTTTACCCCTTTTTTTAGATCATTCATAAATGGGTTGAATAGGATTGGTCCCAGTACAAACCCTTTTAAGACACCACTAGTTACCTCTCTCCATTCTGAATACTTACCATTTATTCCTAGCCTTTGTTTCCTGTCATTTAACCAGTTATCAATCCACAAAAGGACCTTCCCTCTTATCCCACTATCAGGGAGGGATAGCTCAGTGGTCTGAGCATTGGCCTGCTAAAATGTAGGGTTGTGAGTTCAATCCTTGAGGGGGCTATTTAGGGATCTAGGGCAAATTTGCCAGTGATGGTACCTGGCCCTGCTGTGAGGGCAGGGGACTGGACTTGATGACCTCACAAGGTCCCTTCCAGCTCTATGAGATAAGTAAGTTAATATATGGAGATATACCTAAGAGCCTTTGGTGAGGGACCTTGCCAAAGACTTTCTGGAAATCTAAGTATACTGTATCCACTGAATCCCCCTTATCCACGTGTTTGTTGACACCCTCAAAGAACTCTAGTAGATTAGTAAGACATGATTTCCCTTTACAGAAACCATATTGACTTTTCCCCAACAAATGATGTTCATCTGTGTGTCATTCAATAGTAAAAAATAAAATTGTCAATCATAGGTCTGCCAACAGCTAAAAGTTAAGCATGTGTTTAAATGCTATGCTGGATTGTAACTAAAGAGCTCTGTTCTGGCAGGATTGAACTCTATTATAGTACCCCATATGTAAGGAACAGGGATTGAAATAGCTGCATGGATGTCATAAAAAAAATTGATAACCAGACACACCAATTTACACTGATAATTTGGTCTACTGTTTTCTTTCCACAGAAAGTACCTGCATATTCTTTTCCTCCCATTAAATAAAATGTTTACAATCTTTAGTTGGAATGATTTTATTAACACGCTTTTTGTCTGATGCTTCTTATAGGCTGGTTTCCCAACCTTTACAATTGCATATACTTATGAGTAGAGTTTTAGGTGTTTTGCTGTGTTTTGTTTTATATAATTCCGCCTATGTTTTACTGAAATGTTGGAATGAATCACTCTGTGATTACTCCAGAATTAGATTTATTTATAGCAATAAACATTTTTTAACCTATTGATTTTATGTATACAGTAATTTGTTTCATGGGTAAATTTGTAGGTATTCATTAAAAGTTTGTTTAGTCATACTTATTTTTAGACCATTTGTCATTTTTCCTGTCTGTGTTCCAATTATTTGCAATCTAGTGGAATAGTCTGTCTTCCTGTTTATTACAGAAGTTTCAGATGGAAAAGACCAGTTAAATCAATAAAGCCATTCCTGTCTCCTACACACAGAAGGTACAAACATGTAGTCTGACCCAGTAAACACTTAAACATATGAGCAACTCTACTCCTAGGAGTTGAGCCATTGAAATCAATGGGACTTGTTACATGAGTCGAGTTATTCACAAGCAAATATTTATAAGATCATGCCTATTGTGAGTAAATGCACAATGTAAGAGGGGCAATTAAAATAAATAAACAAAGGTACAAGTGAGTTATTTGCACACAAGTGATTTTTTAAATCGTCAAATTATTTGCATGTGGGTAAGTAAAAACCATGAACATTTTTGCATAAGTACATTTCACTCCCACTTTCCACAATAGTGGCTATTAATTACAATGACAGCGTACGGCATACCTATTGTTCGGGTATATACCTTATGTTTAAGACAAAACTTAATATATAATGTGCATCTCTGTTTCATCAAAATATGGTTGTGTGTAATGTAAGCAAATATCAAAAAAGTAATGTGCGCCTGATCTTTGAGCCAACTAAAAATAAAGGGCAATGCTATTGCATATTCTGCACTAAAATGATGATGAACTTCTATTTGGAGGGTATCAGTTCTTAGCAATTTATTGCTCACCTTATTAGGAGTGAAAGGCATGTACTGGACATTTCACGGAACAGATAAGAACCCTCATAAATAGGGAGGAGCCTAGCCAGTTTTAAAACCTGGATATCGAAAGTCAGTAGGACACCAGTGATTTTCACAGATCAACATTACATTTTAAAAAAGCACACATCTGTGACATAGGTAACAAATTATATGTCTGATTCAGATCTCAGTTATTCTAAGAAGAATTTTCCATTTACTTCATAATTTAGTCCTTGTCTGTAAATTTATAAACAAAATAAGAAGAATAATTTCACAGAACTTAGCCTCAATGGTTTTACTTATTTGTTATAACCCTTCTCCTTGTCCTCCTACTGTCTCATCTATGTTAATGTCCTGAAAACAGATACATATATGAGTAACTTTATTTGCATGAGCAGTTCCATTGAGTTTCATGAAACTACTAACATAAGAAAAGTTAAAGTTATTTGAATTCATAACTGCTTGCAGAATCAAGAGCATAGATTGCAAACTCTTCAGTGCAGGTTTCTTTCCTATTCTGTGTCCCTAAGAAAACTAGCAGACACAATTATAATCCTTCTTTCTAGCCTCAATATTTAAAACAACAGGCTTTCCTAATATTGTAAAGTTTCAGACACACAGCAAACTTTCAAGACTACATAACTATATTTTGAATTACTTAAAAATATTCACACAATTTTATAGTCACACTGCTGCCATACACCTGAAGGCATATGACAACAAACAACTTTTAATATACCTTATATTCAAAATAAAAAATGCTTTGTAGTTCCATCTCTAGTTATCCCAGAAGATGTTTATTTTCACCAATATGAAGCACCAATATGAAACATCAGTTTCAGGAAATAAAGATTTGTAATTAGGAAGATCTATCAATTGCCTTAAAAATAGAAATCTCCAATATACGTTATCAGATAATTACAGTCAATATTTTAGAATTTGGTTTACCATACAAATTGCAGGTCACACAGGAGCAATAATGGATCCCATTATAAACAAGGGGATATACCTCACCCAACCTTTATCTGTCCACTTTAGTGCATCAGGGTCAGTGTCAGAATGTTAAAATGGGCAGTTAAATATTATGAAAAGAAACAACAACTTAAATGACCCAGACAGAGTTATTCAGCTGCGTGTCTGGAGAGCTTCCACTTGTGTGCCTCACGTGGCCAATGTTTGTAAGAAAAAGGTAGTTTTTTTGGTGCCAAAAACTCTTACAAACACCAAATATGCAACAACAATTGTCACAGGTCCCTGTGAGACAAAGGAGCATCCTCAGATCCCATTTTAATAAACAAGAGCGAAGTGGACCGAGCCTATCACAGGAGGCGCTCAGGCCCTTGCAGTATCAACCACATACTTCATTCGCTCATGTCTATTCAGAAATGTATATAGTTTTTATTTTTCTATTTATCACAATAATAATTAGCTCATTTAGGGTCTGATTCAATATCTATTAAAATCAATAGGAGTCTATTGACTTTAGTAGGAGAGGGATCAGACCTGTACAGAGTTTATTGTCTGTGGTCTTCAAATTCCTTTGCTGAGGAGGGTTAGTAACTATTATCACTGTTTGACAGATATGGAAACTGAAGCACTGTGAAATGATTTTCCCCAGTCACACAACAGGTCAGTGGCAGCACTATGAATAGAACCTAATCTCCTGAGTTCTAGCTAGTGCCCTGTCCACTGGACCACAATGGTTACCTAACATAAAGCGAGTACTGCAGAAACACATCAGTGGCAGGTTTATTAAAAAACAAAAAGTAACAAAAACAATTTTGCATGGTCTCCTCTCTATGCTAGAGAATTTGAGAATCTATAAATTGTAAACATGCTGGACTTGTGAATGTGGGCCAATAATGCAAAACAACCATAAAGCCAGAGTAAGTCAGGTGTATTATTGCTTTGTACTACTGGAGTGGAGTGAAGCAACTGCAGTGCACCCATAATTGTGGGCCAAGGTGTGTAACTCACAGCAGGTGCTTGCACTCCTACAAAATTTAAAATACAGTATGCATATTCACCCCAACTTGGTAAGACTTTGGTGTCAGCAGCACCAAATCAATTACCAATGGGAAGTTCAGACTTGCAAGTAACTTTTCCTTGATTTGTTTCTAGCAACATACAAATAACTTATTGCATGATCTCACAGCAGAATATCCAATGTGGCTCTAATTTGTTTCAGCTGCCTTATGTTTGTAATAAAAAAAAGCTTTGTTCACGATTTATTATGGCCCAGCACTCAGAGGCTAGAAAATTAAACATATCGTCCTGCAATAACCTCTCCCTTCCAAGCACACACTTTTAAAACAAAATACAGGACTGTGTAGCACCAGACTAACTCCGTTACATTTCTAACACTTTAAAAAGAGATCCCAGAGTTTTAAAATCCCATGGATAAATAATCTGAGCCCTGGTGATGTACAACTTGAGAACTGTTGCGGTCTCACTAGATGTAGAAATGACTTAGCGATGACCTAGTGGTTCCCCGCCCAGAAATCTCCTCCTCTGTTACTTACACTGGGGTTGGTGGACAGGGAAACTGGTTCCAGGCACATTTGTACTGAGCCTGAACAAACTGCTCAGTTCCATCCAGCACAGAGCAGCTCACATTCTTGTTCACTATGTGGGCGCACCAGTTCCTGGGAGCGGGCGACAAAAACACACAGGACAAAGGCACAGTTAAAGGGGCAAACAATAGAGATGATTAAGCCAGTAGCATGGCAAGTGTAGAACAAAAAAAAGCACCGGTCAGGAGACGCAGCCCATAAAACCATCGCCGCGCCCGCTCACACAAGCCGAGGGCAGCTCCGTGGGCCACTGACTGCCCCTGAGGCAAGTGTCCGCACCTACTCCCACCCCACCTTTGCAGCCATTGCAAGCGCTGGGGCTTCCCATCCCACTCGCCCGGCAGCTGGCGGCCGCATCTCGACGCCCTAACAGGGAATCCCGGGAAGTCTTAGCCCCCCCCGCTCGCTCTGCCTGGGGAAGCTGCTGAGGCACCCGAGAGCCCCAGGCCAGCAGGGTCCAGCAGCCCGAGAGCCGCAGCTGGACGCTCCCGCCCGCCCGCGGACGCAGGAGGGAGAGACTCTTACTTGCTCCTGCTGCGCCTCAGGTGCGGGGTGGCCTCGCCGAGCCAGCTGCCCAGGGACAGGAGCAGCGCCAGTGCCCAGCCCAGGGGCACGACCGGTCCCGGGCGCAGCCCCATTGCCGCCAGCAGCGCAGGCGAGACTGGGACCGAGCTGGGCTGCTGCGCGGAGCAGCCCGGGCGGCTGGGAACACCCTGGAGCGGAGCGGAGCGCGCTCCCACCCTCGTCCTGCTGGATTCCTCCCTTCCCCCGCTGGCCGGTTTCCTTTGGACTCCTCTCGCCCTGCCCGCTCCCTCCAGCCCCTCAGAGCCTCGCTGACGCTTCCGCCCTCCAAGTCGTTCACACTCCCCCTCCCAGCCGACGGGTGACTCCCCTCGACCCACGCTTTGTCTGACCAAGCCAATGCAAGGCAGCCCCCACTTTTCCCACTCGGCAGGGGGGAAGGGCAGGTCTTGATTACTTCACATTACTCAGCTGTGAAGGGCTTTTTTCCAGAAAGCGAGCGCCCTGATGCATTAGTATCTATGCGCGCGCGCACAGACTGTCCCATAGACAGACGGGATAGACCCCTACAAAGAGGCCCCACCCAGCCCTCTATTGGCCTGCACCTTTGGCAGGAGACCTCGATCTTCTGATCCGCTCGAGGAGTTGCACATATTTAAGATACTGGCCACGCATCAGACATGCAGCCACTTCCTCCCTTCCCCCCATTCACTCTGGCCTGACTTCCCCTCCACAGTTATGCAAACAGTGACGGTTTGTGCAATCAGTGCTTTTGACTTAACACTGGTAACTAATGGAGAAACTATTCAGTCCAAAATGACCATTACGCTGTATGTGTAGTGCAGCCATACTGTCCAAACACTATGACCCTCACTTCCCCAAACATAAGGAGTCCAATTAATCCTCCTAGACAACACTCTCATAAATTCTGAGGATCCCCCTGCTGTACTGCTGGTGATGGCAGTTGTCATGGACCATTGGCTCCTCACTTGATCATTGTCCCCTCATGACCCAATGCACCTCAACCACTAATACACACCTTTCCCAAGTATTTAAGCTGATAAGGTTATTTTGACACGCCCAACTGCTACTCCATATCCCAAGAACTCTTTTGCATGGATTTTCTTCCTGTTTTTCTCTGTTGCTTTAGGAACCCAGGAATTATAATTCTGGACCAGACAAGTAGTCCATCTTGTTCAGTATCTTATCTCCAACAATTGCCTGCACCAGCTGTTTTAGAAAATGTGCAAATGGGCAATGATGGAATAACCTCCTTTTAAAGAAAGTTTCTTCCTAACTTAGAAGCTGGGTTAAACTCCAAAGCATAAGAGCTAATATCCCTTTCAAACTTTTATATATATTTAATAAGCGTAATACAACTGCAGATATTCTCATCGATATTAATGCCAAATCCTTTTTTGGAACCAGGTAAGTTCTTTTGCCACGGTAATACCCTATAACAATGAGATGTCATGCACTTTGCATCCTTTCACATGCATCTCAGCATAACTCTCGACTACAGTAAACTACATCTTTTTTTAAATGATCTTTAAGATGCACAATAATATTTAATAATATTGAAATTAGTAGTTCATACGTTCCTTTTTATACCAAGTATGCTATCAACTTGGTAAAAGTTGGAAAACAAACATGTATTAGGCAGAGTGAGCAGCAGATATTAAAATTCAATCTAGCGCAGTTCTTCAAGATTACTTACCTGTGCAATGTTTCTAAGGCTGTGTCTACACCATAGGTTCCCAAACTGAGGAGAGTGCCCCCGTGGGGGGGGGGCATGAAGAAATTCCAAGTGGGGTACGAGGTGACTCAGCCCTCCCCCCTATGGAGTTTTGCTACCCCGGTCAGTCCCTTTTTTTTTTTGGCTCAACAAGTTTTGCTGCTATTTTTTTGGGGGGGGGGGGTGAGGGTTTTTCAAAAATCAAAAAGGGGGGGCGTGTTGCTGAAAAGTTTGGGAACCACTGGTCTACACTATGCAACTTTTAGTGAAAAGCCCTATTGCTAAAAGTTGAAACATGTAAACGCTGTGTGTCAGCATTTTTTTCAGACAAAATACTTCTAATCCCCAAGAGCTGCTTTTGCTTTTTCAGCATGAGAACACTCCTGCTTGCAAAGCAGTGTTTACACTTGCTGCTGCAAAACTTTTGTGGTTCAGGGTGTGGGTGGGAACTAAGAACCTATGAATGACATAAATTGTGTCACTTGCAAGTGTAGACATATCCTAACAAACTCTATTTCTGCCCAGAACACAGTGGAGTATCCACAGATTCACATTAGCCCCTGTCCTTTTAAAGGCATTACTTTGGATGACAGGCTCATATTCCTATAATTCTTAGAAGATCCGCATCTTTTTCTTCTGTGTTTGCACAGTGCCTATCACAATGATATCTTGGTATACAATTGAGTGCTACTATAATACAAACATATAAATCATTACCATAACAACATTTATCTTTTTACCTAAGTGCTTCTCACGTGGTCTGATAACTCCTAACCTCACTTGAATTCCACCTGCCAATCTGCCATATCGTAAACTTGGTCTTTTCCATCTGTTTGGCTGATAAGACCACCAAATCTGAAAGAAAATTATCTTGCAAAGCTATGAGGCCAAATCATTACGCAAATTTCTTTGTAATAGTTGCTTCACTTGAAACTGCTAAAATGTTCTACCAATGCTTGCTACTAAACATTTTTGGAAGTTACAAATGCATTTGAAGAACTCATTTAAATAAGAACTATTCAAGATTACTGCGCTCTCTTTTCATCCATTTAGAAATGATGTATTTCCTTATTGTTTCACTTTCAATAACATGTGCCCAGAGCTGTTGAGGGGAACGCAACAACTGTCTGTCTGAAATAAATGATTTTACAGGCAAAGTTCAAATAATCTATTGCACTATGGTTTACACTTGCAATAACATTACAATAGACTTAGCTATTTGTGCCCATAGAACTTCTGTGGAATTTTTCTTGAGAAAGGCAAGATATAATCCAGCATGCTCCCAAAAATGCCATAAACACAAAAGCAAAGACTCTTCTATTTTTCCCTCACTAAAGGAAATCCAACTGGCTTCTTCTCAAAAAGCTACAAGTAATATGTTGGAGTGGTCTGGCCCCAAAGAGAAAATCATCAAGTAATCGAGGACTGAGGTCATTCCTATCTTTTGAATGACTATACACTGCAAAAATGAAATGGATGATTTAAACAAAAATAAGTAAGAAACAGTGATATGTTTTTATTCACAAAATGTTTTGCTTTGAATTTATATTGTGCTAAATGAAAATTATTCATGTGCCCCATAATAACGACATAGCAATTTCTTCTTCTAATTTTGCCTTGAGGTACCCTAACAACCTTGAAAACCTAGATTCTGTGATCAAACACAACATGAAACACAGCAGAACAGAGAGTAACTATAATCCTTCATTTATTAATCTCCTTGTTATGACAAATAATGAATCAGCTAACAGTTGCCTGAAACTTCCTTCCGAACTCCACCCTTATGGGGTAATATTTATCTACTCAAGATAAATGTGATCAAATGGATCTAATATATTCTGAAATATCAATGCCTCTAACTTCTAGCCCAACAATTAAGAGTCCTCATAAATGCTATGAGGTCCAATGATAATCCTTGCTGCGATTACTGGTTTACTAGAAGGAAATATGATACCTCATCCACCACAGTCACAAGGCATTCTGTGATTTGTTTCATTGTGAAATTAAACATGAACCACAAAGTTTAAAAATAAAATCCTTTAGGATTGTACTCTTCCTACCAATGAAACTGAGGCTGCATGGAACTTTGAACCTGCACAGTATTTCATGGAGTAAAAAGCTTTAATGGCTCAAAAAGAAAATAACAGCATTAAGATAAAAACAGTTACCTACCTTTCATAACTGTTATTCTTTGGGATGTGTAGCACATGTCCATTCCACTCTAAGGGTATGTCTACACTGCAAAGTTAATTCGAAATAACAGCCATTATTTCGAATTAACTTTTAATAGCGTCTATACATGCAAACCGCTATTTCGAAATTAATTCAAAATAATGGAGCGCTTAATTAGAATTTGGTAAACCTCTTTCTACAAGGAGTAAAACCAAATAGTTATTTCGAATTAAGTGCTGTGTAGACACTTAATTTGAAATAGGGAGCCTCCAGCCCTTCCCAGGGAGCCCTGGTGGCCACTCTGGGCACAATCAGGAAAACTTACTCTCCTGTCCCCCAGCCCCGGAGCCATTAACAGGGTAGACTCTGGCCACAGTGCCTGTGCCAGCTCCAAGTCTTCCAATCCAGAATCAGCAGTGGCCACCGGGGCCCCTGACCCAGTGGCCCCAAAACATGAGCTAGCAAGCCACTGGCAGGCCGGCCCCCCCACGCCACTGGCAGCCAGCCCTCCACCACTCCCCAGGAGTGACAGGGGCTGAAGAAGGCGGGTGCCTTCCTGGTCCAGGGTGGAGATGATGGACCTTATTCAGGTTTGGAGGGGATGCCCCCAAACGTCCATGATCTCCATGCTAGATGGAGGAATGCGGCTGTCTATGGCAAGATAGCTGCCAGTCTGGCCACCAAAGGTCACACATGAACCCAGGAGCAGGTTTGCATGAAAATTAAGTTGGTCCGGCGAAACTCCCATCCCTGGGCCCTGAGCTTCCCCTCCCCCTTCTCCCTCTTGCTTCCCCCTTCCAGCTCCCTCCTCCCAGGTTTCCCCCTCCCCTCTCACAACCTCTCTCTTCCCCTCTCCCACCTCCTTTTCCCAGTCTCCACAGAGGTTCATCCCTCCTCCCCCAGTATTGTTCAATAAACTCAGTTTCTATTTTTGAACATACGTGTCTTTTGTTTGACACCAGGAAGGGGGTTTAGGGAGGGGTAAGTGGAAGGACGTGAGGGAAAAATGGGGCACGAGCCCCTGGTGGCAAGGACCAGAGTGGCTCTGAGGGCTCCTTGGGGTGGACGCTTTCCTGCAGGGCCTCCAGGATCCTGACAGCTCCCTGATGGACCCCTCGGATGGCAGCCTGCAGCAAGTGCAGCCGGGCTGATGGCAACGACCCCACGAGATGCACCGGCATGCCCAGGGGCAGCTCTGGCTCCATGTGGCCGAGTGCTGTGGTGTCCCGAGTGCGGGCATTCAGGGCACTCCAAGACAGGACTGCTTTGCTGTCCCTCATCGAGGTAGATAAGCAAGTGGGGAACACCGAGAACTGTCTGTCCAGGGTGGGGGTAGGGTCCCTTTAAGTATGGACCTCAGTTAGCCTCAGGCAGGAGCCCCACACACTAAGTCCTAACCTGATGCTCTGCCGGCACTGGATCC